GAAACGGTTAAAAGAGAAGAAAAAAATATTCTTGCTTTTGCCAAAAGCTGCGTTTGACTGCTCCCACATAGGTAATCCTATAGTATGAACCTTCAAAATTGTAACCATGAATGAAGGCCTTTTACAGGCAACACCTTTCGTGAAATATCAAATCTAGCACAAAAAACCTCGAAAAGGACGACTTTCTCGTATTTCTGGCATATTTTGATGTATAATATGTATGTTTCTTGAGTTTTAGCCATTGAATGAGCAAAAATTACAGATAAATATGAGATATAAGGTAAAGAGCAAGTAAGAGGCTCGTAGGAGTTTTCTACAGGGAAACAAAATATTTTCTCGACTTTTTGGGCATTCGGATTCCTTTAGATCTCGGCTTCGAACCTCATTTGAAACAAATTTTGAGCGAATATCAGGGTACATTCTTGTAGGGCTTGCTTTGCTCTGTCACATGGCATCACACATGTTTAGAGAGCAAGCAGAGTACGAGTTATCGCGAGAAAAATTAAAAACGCTAAAAATTATGGGACACCTAATCGCAGTACTGTAGAATTTATTGAACAGAGGGCAGTGCTCAGGACATACTTACTAATTTGAAGATGAATTTTTCCGTTTCAAGCGAATTATATAGGACACTGAGAGAAGGTCTCTCGATTACATGTGTGTAAATGCGGGAAATGAATCAGACTTATAAGCCTTCAGTTTTGTACACTATCCAGTAGATGGTACCTCAAATTCTTACAGTCTGCCCCAATCCTAACCAGGCCAAAATCGGCATGGCGGGAGTCCGCGCCGCGAAGGTTTCGCGCAACATCTGCGGCTAGCTAGTCTGCTCTCTCCTCCATCTCTTCACTCTCTGCGACAGCGCGCGTATGCAACGCAATCCCCTAGCGCTGCGAGCGCGCATATTCAGCCGACGGTTCGGCCTGATCCCGATTGGGGCAGACTGTAAGTTCCCTCATTGAGGGAGCTCAATAACTGGATGTCCAAGTGAAATATTGCTGAGTTGGTCATGCTTAAAAATTACTGAACTTTTGCCCAGTACCGTACTCTTTTGGAGGTACGGTAATGGGATCTTTACGGTAATGGGCAAGAGTTCGAAGTTGAATTTCTCTGTTACGAATATTTTTGATGAGTTGCCGCTTGGGCATCGGCATAGTCAAAAAGCTTCAATTACCCTATTTTCAGGTGTATAAGCCGCACTTTTTCAAATTTTCGCCCGGGCTGCTCAGCCGCTTCATTGTATTTCGAGAAGCGATCCTTATGCCGCACGATTCTTTCAGACAATACGCAGCACGGTATAGGGTCCTTTGGATGCGAGGTCCATTGATGTGTTCGGGCTGATCGATGTAAGCTAGGACCACCCCGCGGCTTATACACCTGAAAATAGGGTATTTATGGACATACAAATTCTAGGGAACACAACTTTGCATGAGTGTTGAGTTTTGTTAACTTAGAAATATCCTGGCCGTTGGTTTGAACCTTCTTTTTTGCCTCGCTTGGCTATGCGCACCGCTATGACACTTCGTGGCAGGACCATGTCTGCTCTCTACTCATTTCCTTCAGTCTCTAATTACTGCCTTTATTTGCTCAAAAAATGCTGTTTTTTACTGTTACAACGTACTGTTGCACTATAAACACTCTGAAAACCTGAACAGGAGTATTTTTGACTTTAAAAAGTCTCCTGATCTGCTAAAGAACCTGTTCGATAGTGCACAACAGCGACGATGACTTGACGATGTCCCCGTCGTCTCGTCGCGCATTCTGTTCTGGCACCGGGGCGACCGGCCAGCCAGGCCAACAAGTGACATTGAACACCTCACGAACTGGCTTTGCGCTACCTTTGTTATCTCGCCTCCACCAAAACATGCTCGTTCTTCTCATTTTACAGCTTTTTCTAGCAATTTTCGCGTTCTTAGGAATTTCCCAAAAGAGCGGTGTCCTTGCGAATCCGCTTGTTCATCGATTACTTGCTCTGTTGCGTTTGTTTCTTCGCCTGCAATGATTTTGATAAGTTTATCCAAAAAACAAATGTCTATCTTTATTTTTTGTAACCGTTTGATTTTTCTTCCTCTTCTAAATGTCAGTTCATCAAGTCTAAACGTTTTACTAGTGTTGAGTGTTTGAGCCATTATTGTTTTCCAATATTTTGATTCATGCAGATTAACGAGTCGCTTACGGAACCAAATGGTGACTAACGGATCGCTTGCCCTCGAAAAAATTACATTCTTTTCTTTATCCATGCACATAAATCATTCTAAAAATTGATTCTTTCTACGGAAAATACTGAAGTTTAGAAATGTGTTGTATACACATTTTTCGCTATGAATTTACCAGCACTTAATGTCAAAGATCTAAACTGCTTTTTAATTTACTAATTTCTTCTTTTGATTTTTGCATTTTTGTGTAGGTAATTCAAGAAATAGTTAATCTTTCCTTCCTCCTTCATTTTCCTAGATCAAAGCTCTCAGTTATCGAAAACTTTCCTAGTATTCTAAATATCCTTTTTTCGAACTCTTTGTATTATCAAGGGTTTCAAATATGGACCCGACTCCCGTGGCTCGTTTTCACTTACTTCTCGGTTTTACAACGAGAACTTCGAAGGCCGTATTTGGGCAAAGTTTAATTTTTTTTCTTTCATAACTCTGGTTATTTTCCTTTTACTGTCATGTGTTGAGGTAAACCCTCAATTCCCATAGTTTTACACTTATTCGTCAATACCGTATTTTGTTCTGTTTATATTCATTTACTTACATATCCTAATTTTTAATTTCTCACATATCCAATGTTGAATTTTCCGTGGCATCTTTGGTTTTTGAAATTTCTGGTTTGCCTTTCTCAAGCTTTTCAGCCATTCACATTGAAAGCAAATAAATGCAAAATAATGCGAAGAGTGCATAATGCACGCGTTTGATTGCTGCATTCTCATTTGATCTTTTGCACTTGAGGACTTTCAAACAGGCCATAAGTGCTGAAGAGCAAATCAATGTTGTGGAAGCTATACCCTATTGCTAGTGATTATTTCTTGTGTGTTCCTATCTCAACTAAATTTCCATTTCCACAGTGGCTTTTGGTCTTCGCAAAGAATTAGTTTTTCCACGTTTGAGACAAGATAAAAATGAAATTGCTTCACACGATTAAAAGGAACTTTCAAAATTTTCGAATTTTTCGTAGAATTTTTAATGCAAAACTTGTGCACAAACAGATATTTCTACGTGATTGAATCCATAAGACTTGAATAAATGCCAATGTACTAGACTTATCATCGTATTCAGTGAGATGCTGTTGTTTTGATCTGCCATAGTTGTTTACTTTAGACTGAGCATAGCTTTGAGCAAAGGATTAACATATGAATAGGCGTTCCTACGGCCAGATGCCCTTTGAATCCACATCAAGCGTTCGAAGAACTTCAGATGCAAAGTTTTTCATTCTGTAGCAAGGTTTCTTGGATAGACATTATTTTTTCAAATCATCGGATAGCTTGTTCCACCGATTTCGACCTGCTTTCCACGTTGTATCATTTATAATTTACTTATAAATTACATACATGTCTGTTGACCTTCTATACTTTTCTATATATTAGGTCGGTGCAAAAGTTTTGTCAGTTTTTTCAATCCATCAGCAAACACGACAGAATGAAGATAAACAAACGCTTCGAAATGTATCCGATGCAGAATTTCTTCCTCTTTCTAACTGCTAAACAGACATCGTGTTTCTTTGCGAGAGTGACGAGATATTCGCTGGAAATTACAACCACTCGTTTTTACCATGTCCAAGTTTCGCTAACTTTCAAAATTTTTGTATGAGACTTTCGGAGGAGCCCCAATAACTAGGGTATAGGGCAAACCTTTTGCCAACAGATGCAATTTTTTTGTAGCCCTGTGGCATGTCTTTCAGAATTTCTACGATTTATTTTTTGAAGTGACCAAATCTTTCATTCAGCCTATTTTAACCTCGTAGAACATTAAACGTTAAATACTTCAGATACCATTCGATGCAACTTTTTCTACTCTTTCTAACACTTGTCTTTTTTTGGCGAGACAAGCGGAATTCGTGGAGAAAATCGCAGTATTTTCCGATTTTAGGAGTGTGCACTAATGTAACCTATGTTTCAAAATCCTCATGATTTATAGCGAAAATCGCTTATTTACTTTAATGGTAGAGGTAGTAATAATTGAGTGTTGAAATCTCTATTCTGTAGTTTTTGCAGTGTTTGGTGCATTAACAGGTTATGCAATTTTTCCAAAACACAAGACTTTTAGAAAATTACTTGGCAAAAATCTGGAAAAGCAGATGATAAAAAGGAAAAATTGCATAAGTTGGCAAAACGTTAGCCCTATCTGCTGGCTATCAGGGCTCCTTCGAAAGTCTCATACAAAAATTTTGAAAATTAGCGAAAGTTGGACATGGTAAAAACAAGTGTTTGTAATTTGCAGCAAATATCTCGTTATTCTTGCAACGAAACACAATGTGAGTTTAGCGACTGGAAAGAGGAAGAAATTCTGCATCGGAGACATTTTGAAGTCTTTGTTTATCTTCATTCTAGCGTGATTGCCGATGGATTGAAAAAACTGACAAAACTTTTGCACCGACCTAATATATCAGTTCAAAAGTTTCCTTAATGCTCATTTATGCGTATAATTACGGATTAGATAAAATTAGAATTCAGACAAAAAGTTTCTTGCATTCCAAACGTAAAGTCATGATGGACATAAAAACATCCAATGTAATTTTCGCAAAAAAATGGAGATGTAATTGCTTCTATATGCCTTCTATACCTTCTTCATTTTAATGATTGTTAATAATGTACCATCTACATATGTATTCTCAGTTCTGATTTGAACCTTCCAAGTAAATGAATGCTTAACCATATACTGCTGTGAAAACAACTTTTTCCCTCATTACATTACTCATCTGCTGGGCTCCCAATTTTTCTTTTCCTGGATATTTTTGAACTAACCCGTGCAAGTAGATTGTCTAATCAATTGGATTTGCATTTCCAGCTGGCCCTCGATCGTATGCTAGATTATCCACGCAGTCCATCCACATCACTAGCGTCGTCATCAGGCCGAGAAACAGGTAGCATTCATCATTTGGCCATGTAGGTCCAAATTTGAAAAATTTGGAAATTTTTCAGGATCCACCGGCAAGGATCAAGGCATTGGCGCTGGCACGAGCAGCGCTGAGCGATTGAATGAATCTACTTCTAGTTCACCGAGGAAGCGGGAAGGTACGATTTTTTGGAATCTTCTCCCTTGCTTTGATTCTGTTTTTTTTGCTGGTGATTTTTTGCTTAAAATGTTTATTTTGCGTATTACGTGTGACACGCTGTAAATGTTTTAACTATATATTACATTTGAATCCTGCTCATCAAACATCTGCTAGGATTCTACCACCTTCAAAACACTCGATAACTTTTTTCGATTTATGCTCAGCATATCAATACAATCAATTTTTTTTGAACTTGATCACTTTTGAGGTTTTTCTCACACTTTACCACTTGAAACTGTGAAAAAAATTTTTTTCACATTACAGGTCTCGCAGCACGACGTTTGATCCGAGTACCATGTGGGACGACTCCGTCCGCTTGCGGATCGGATTCGATTGCGGAAAGGTAGGAGGCTAATATGGAATGACGTTTGGGACTCTAGTTTGTTTACGGTTTGGTGGAAACAAAATTTGTCCGAAAGGACTTGGGGAATGGGAAAGGATGGGGGATGGGACGGAAATGAAAGTGGGAGGAGGATAAAAGCCTACAATTCTCTGTAATATTTGAATTTCTGACAAAATCCAACTATCAATAAATCTTACTTGGCGAACTACACAAAGTGGGCGAAAAACTTTTTATGAAATTTTGGGTCGTTATTTGTTGTTGTCGAAAAAAACTCATGTCCACGAAGTAATTCTTTTCTCTTCTTTCCCTCCAGTATCCAGACTAGCAATTTCTTTAAAAAAAATGTCCTGCTTACTGAAAATTGACTTTACTTTTGAACTTCTGCAAATATCATACCGAAATTGATGCAATAGAGGAGGAGGGGGTAGGGGGGGGGGGAGGGGAGAAACCAAATAACGTTCTAAATAGTGCCATACAAAAATAAAATTTTTGAAACCCTGATTTTAGCGTTCCGATCCCATTTACGGTGTTCGGTGGAGCTGCTGCTGCTCGACTGATTCTAATCGACATCGTCAAACGAGAAGACCTCATTGGAATCTTGAATCCTAATGATGTTATTTTGAAAATTGAAGATGTGTAGGTTTTTATCCTGTTTTTCATTATTCAAGTAAATTTCCTTGAAGCTGGATTAAGAGCACTTTTCCAGAAAGAACAAATTGTCAGGAAGAAATTTCAGGCTTGCAGATGTTTCTCTACCATCTTTCCTGTATTCCTCTACCATCTTTTGTCTTTCCTTCAATTCCTAAATAATCGAACTTTTTTGATCGGCGGAAATTATCGAACCCTCACGAGTTTGCGGAACAGTTGCTCAGCGTGAAAATAATTGAGTGCCATTATGAGCTGATATGCTCTCCACTCACCTCTTTCAATCTAGTAAACATTCCTCCACTTCCCTAATATTCATTCAATCAATCCATTATTGATTTTTTGATATACCGTAAACTTACCGTGTCTTGCAGAAATGTCAGCGGTATGTTGAGATCAGAAGTGACACGATTATTAGAGCGGCTGTGCCATGATAATGATCAAATAGCAGTGGAAATTGTCCCTGCAGGTAAGGTATCATTTGATTCAACCGGATTGTCGGGTGGAAGGCGGGGCTTCGTGACCCATAAGATTAGGGTAATGACCAGAGAGCAGCGCGCTGGGGAGACGCAGACTGGGTCGCGGGCGCGAATGGCCATATTTAGGTCACAAAGTCCCGCCTTTCAGCCGCCAATCCAGTTGAATCAAAGGTTACCATCTCGTTATTTTTCCGTTTTTGAGACTTGTTTACGTGTTTATCCGATTATTTCTATTTTTTAGGTGCTATCACTGATGATATCTGCGAGATTTTAGCCGATAAACAATGGGCAGAGCTACAAACTACGATACGGGACAATTTGTACAGCAAGACTGTGCCATGTGAGTCCATAAAACCTTTTTTTTGCATTTTACGTTTTCTTCGGACTCCTTCGGGCTTTTGGCACAATTTTAGACAAAAGAACCCTTCATACTGAACAAAAGCTCCGTCCTACATTCTCCCCCAAATTGTTGTTTCTCAGAGTCGGGAAACAACCGTATCAACGTTAATAAAGGAGGCGCCTAATATAACTGATATGAAACGGTAAATTCTAAAAATGACAAAAGAAAATTCTAGCATAAAGAAATTGTTTGGCATGTTCGCCATGTAGCAGTGGCGTACCCAGAATTTCCGTTTGAGGGAGGCGGACAAAAAAATTTTTCTGAGAAAGGCGGGTCAGCCACGTACTCCGAAAATTTTCTTGGAATCCTTAAAAATCATTGCGGACCCATAACCCCGAAATCCCGGATTTTTTGAAGGCTAAATTGGCTTTCTAAAAAATTTTCGAAAATTTGGCAATTATTTACAAGTATAAACAAGTCATCGGCACATTTTTGAAACTCGTGTAAGTTACTTTCAAAAATTTCGGGACATTTGAGGGGAGGGGTGCCCTACCCCTTTCCCTCCCCCCCCCTCAGTATATAAGAAAATGTTATGTAGGTATCAGCCCGGTTTATGTTCAGCAACGTTATGGTGCTCAGGAATGCGAGGGATAAATTTACTAACTGACGCAAAAGTCCCATTTTTTCTGGTCCGTAGTTTTTTTTTCCATGGCTGAAAAATTTTGATTTTTTGAAACACAGAAAAATTTTTAAATTTCTCTTTCTTATCTGTGTTTTTTGCCAGAGGAGGCAGCAAATACCTTTTCAAACTATTCTGTAAGCTCCAGCTATTGCTAACAAAGCTTTTGAGTTCCGTGAAAATTTTAGTGACATACTGACATGACTTACTGGCTTGTTGAAAGGATCTTTTCTTATGTTTTGAATGTGATCACTTTTTTTCCCAAAAAGACCAGTGAATGAAACTCCATCAGTATCGGCTACACTGTCCACCAGAGAGAAAAAACAATATGGTCCAACTTATTATATCATTTCGAGTTTCCAAAAAGAATAGATCACGAAATACTTGAAAAATTATTTTTCAACAAAAAAAGCCGTCAATTTCTCAACTACATGTAAAAGGGGCCAAGCGGTAATGTATGAAAACGCGAAAACAATTGACTATGCGTGTGTTCTTGATATAAGGACTGCAAAACGGGGATTTTTAGTGTAGGAAAATCTTTCTGGCTTTTCTTTGTATGAACTTCTTGAATTCTTAACTCTACGTTAATTTTTTTTTATCTTTTTTCCTGTAAATTTGCTTTTCCATATATTTGATGTCTCCTTCACATATAACATTATAGCACAGTGCGCAAATATCATAACGATACCATATTTTTTTGATGAAGTAATTTTCTTTGGACTCATACATAGTTACTCATTTAATAATTTTGTTTCTTTTCATTTGTTTTATGCATTTTAATCGTGCCAACAATTTATTTCTTGTTCATTTTCAAGGGATTCCTGTCTAGCCCATCAGACTTTAAAAAATGTGAAAGTCGTGAAATACATGAACACTCCAAAATTCTTAAATTTTGAAATTAATTTTTTAAAACTTCTTTTTCAAGGATATTCTATTTTATAAATGAGTAAGGAGCATTTCCAAAACGGAACCTTTCTTCAAATTTTTTCAGCTCTTCAATGAATCGCATAATTGTGTATGCAAAATTATTTGCTTATCACAATTATTTGCAGAAAAGAAATCATCGCAGTACCCTGCCCAGGTGTTCCTTTCCCCCCAAGATATTCCTTGATCCGTGACCGACTTTTTCCTCGGTCAGCTGCTACTGACACGCAAAACATTTTCGAGAACTAGACTAACGGTTATTGAGGTGAGAAAGCGATGATCGCACGCGGAAAAAACAAGTGTTCGCTCCTCCAACCCCCTCCTCCCCCCCCCCCCACCACCGCATTTGTTCTCCGTTTCCCATCGCATCAATACGGATCTTGGCAATTTGTATGCTAACTCGTGCGTGACCGACATGGGAGCTGCCTGCCCTCTTAAGGGAGAAATTGTTTTTTGGCGTTTAGCCAACAGAATTTTTGGCATTGAAATTGCTTCGAACATTTGAATTTAGATTGAACCTCTCTATAATTTTGATAATTGTTCAACTTTTTTCTGAAAAATGATGGTAAAAGGCCCCTATCGTCAATTGAAGTACAGCTATTAGTTTCCTTTTAGTCTCTTGCTTGTTTTCCCAATGAAGCATCTTTCTTGTGATTCTTCATCGATATATAGTAGCTACAACCACTCAAGTTCAAGTAGAAAAAACTATTCGGAACATCTTTTCCCTATAGATGCAAACTTTATGAAGAAAAATCCAGCATAAATTTGTGACTTGTGAAATCCTTTTCCATTAGGCCTACGATATACCCTAAAATCCCATAGATAAAAGCGATTCAATTTACCGGTGAAAAATGAATTGGAATGAAATTGAAATTGAATGCAGTCATCCCTCTAACTTGATGGATGGATAAATAAAAATCGGAGAAGAAGTTTAGAAGAAGCTCCGCCCCTCAACTCTAAAACCGGCCACTTAATAAACAATTCATATAGACAAATATCGATTTTAGCGGAATTTCGGAATTTCTATATGAATTGTTTATTAAGTGGGCGGGGTTTAGAGTTGAGGGGCGGAGCTTCTTCTAAACTTCTTCTCCGATTTTTATTTATCCATCCATCTAGTTAGAGGGGTGACTGCATTCAATTTCAATTTCATTCCAATTCATTTTTCACCGGTAAATTAAACCGCTCTTATCTATGGGATTTTAGGGTACATTTTATTTTCCGAAATAACAAGTTTGTGAAAAAATTCTTTTGTTCACTTTTGATTTCACAGCAATAGGTCAGAAGGAAAAATTTTTTACATTTGTTTTAGTGTCCCATCAAGGCAAGGAATAACAGAATGAACAAATCATGAAAACGGTAGTACTCTTAGAGGACGCAAAAGAGCTGAAACAATTTAAGCAATGTTTTTAAAAGTTGGTTTCTCCTCAAAAAATAGTAATTCGAAAAGGGTTGAAAAGGAGTATTTGAAGCAACTTAGTATAAGTGGCTAAGCTTCCTTGCACTTCTGGGGCTTAAACTGTTTTATCGAATAAACTCAATAAATATGCCACTCTTTGGGGTTGAAAAGTCATGTCAGTTGTCAAAATGTAATACATCTCAATGTATTTATTTGGGGCACAAGCTTTTTCTTTTTTTTCTTGCAATCAGATCTGAAGAAATTTGTACACCTCTGTGTAAGTCCACATTGTAATACAAACACAAAGACACTATAGCCCATCAGCCTGGCTCTGACTGCCCTTCGAAGGTGGATCGTCAGTAAATTGCTACTCTCTTAGTAGTAATCTACTGCGTGTGAGTACCCACCCGGCTCGTCTAAATAGCCACTGTTCCTCTTTCCATTCTTACACATCAACGCAATTTCGGCAGCTTGCCTCATTGCTTTGGTTTTTGTGAATTTCTGTATCTCGGCTGTCCCAAGGCTTGTGTAGTTTTTTTGGTTGTAGAACTTTCGTTCTTCAGAACTTCCATCCTAAAAATAACTATGTTTTTTTGATAAAAACGCTATCTACAACCATGTGTATCCTTAATTGTCTTGCGCTAATTATTGCTTCTAGAAGTTTAGAAAATGAGTTTGGTACCTCGCTACTAAAATGACCAGACTGTACTTTTAATGTTGCGGGATATAACGGCGTTAATTGTTGGTGATAAATACATGCAGCAATGGCAAATTTGACGTAGGCTATCTTCAATACCTCCTCTTTATTTTTTTCTAAAAATTTGCAAGTCATGAATTATAGCGGAATAGGCTCCAAAAAGTACTATGTTATACTTGATTTTAGCAAGTGATGGTAAAACTACAAGACAGCCTTGAAAATCCTTTCTATTTCCAAACTGGAGAGTAGTGTTGAAATTTATTTCTGCTTACGTACGGTCAGTCAGTTATAGCACAACTAATAGCATGCCAAATCAATTTAAATTATTTCTAGTAAATTTTATGAATTCTCTGTCATTTTTCCCAGTTTTTTGCAAATATTTTGAAAAATCGCAGCTGTGTAACTGGATAAAATTGGATAGATTTGATCCTCGCTTGAAAAATTGCCAAAAGTTCTAATGCGCTCAGTCATATTACTATTACCATATCATTCGTAAAATGAATAGAAACAGTGTCTTCGTCTCTAATTTTTCTGCGATAGCGGAGCTTGGAAACTTGCTTTTGCGGTCCCATCCTATCCAGGAAGACCGACACTTTAGCATGTTAGCAATCCAATCTTGTTGAAACCATCTATTTGTCAATGTATTTATCTCCATCAATATATATTTTCCTCTCCTTTCTTTTATATTGTCGAGCAACACGTTTCCTTTGACGTTCTGCCATACTGCCTCTCTGAAGACGTTTTTTGGGCGCAAATGGGTAGCTCAAAACCTCCTTTCATAAAGAAATGCTCTTTTTCATCTTTTATGTATGTGTATTTGGCAAAATGCCGTTCACGAGATTTTAGATGATCTGCGAATACAAAACAGTTGATAACATGCTATGTAATGCATTTATTCATGGATTGGGTGTAGAAAGGCCTCAAGTTCTGATTGGGATTCCTTTGCTTATCACACAGACCAGCTGGCCGCGACCTTCGGCGCACAAGTAGTATACATCAGACCTCTGACCATTGCCTTTGATCATCTGAAAAGAGAAGCCCAATCACTCATTTTTGGTATGAACATGAATCGAGGTGAGGTAGACGGGAAGGTCAGAAATCGAAGTGGCCAATCCAGGCAAGCAGCATATTATACGATGCAGCGTAGAACACTGACTCCAAATATGTTTTCCATGTTTGCTAAAAATTTTACTGCGAGAAAGTCTCATGTAAAAATTACGAAATTGAGCGAGTTAGTGTCCTGTCAGCTCACCCCGCGTACGGAATGGCCTTTAGCGGCTTTTAGCTCCACCCACAAAAGCGTTTAGCAGATAAGGAAGACTGTTACAAAGTCAGTATTCTATGCTACATCTATGGTAAGCAGCTTGTTTGAATTGGTCACTTTCACTTCTAATCATTCCCTTGTAAAGTCGAGATTATGAGAGCTCCTCAAGCTTCTAGTCGTACAAATTTCAAGGGGGCAACTAAAATTTGCGTAAATAATATCAAGGTAAATAGATATAATGTGTAATGCGAATGTCTAGGCATTTACAAATAACTCCTTGTCTCTTCTCAAAGGCCGCTCATCGAAGCTGAATGTGCTCTATTTCATGCACCAGACATGATCCCTTACCTCGTTGATCTTCGCCTCCACGCGTTTTTTGAGTAGTGCGTAAGCGCGTCTTTCGCTGAAAAAAAATCACTTATAGAACAATAGACATTGAATCCGAGGCATACCGTAAAGAAACTCTGACAATAAGATTAGGGTCATGTGAGCTAGGTAAGCTAGGGCGATATAAGGCATCCCTGACTGCAACTCCGAGGGTGGGTTCACATTTATTCTGCAAGCACGATTGCTTTAGCATATGAGCGGACATTTTTTGTGAAGTCTATACAGTTTACATTTCCCGTACTTCTTGCTTCCCTGGTGTGAGATGACGTGTGACAAAAACTAGACAATCTTTGAAACTGACCAGAGAATCCTTAGGAACATTCAGGTCTGTGAATTCAAAATAATAGCCGACATCGAAGCCACGCCCTATACATCTGTCAGTGCTAGCGACAGCGATCACAGGAAGAACCTGGACCAGGATTTTTAGGAGAAAATTCCATGAGAAAAGCCAAACCTACAGCTAGTATGTAAAGGCGCGACATTGGATGCTTGCTCATGTTTTCCCTGATATTTATACTTTTCTGACATAATACAATAAGTGCCTTACATTACGCCATCAATGTTTTCAATGTATCATTACATTAATTTGCTTTTGATTTGAATAAGCTGTACTTTATAATTGAACGAGCAGTATTTTGTTTAGACGCTGTATTGTTCCATAGCTAATGCGATTCATAGAATATACAGGCTGCTAAACAGCCGAGTCATTAGCACTTTTAGTGTGGGAGTTCAAAACTGTACGCTTCGGTGTCTTTAAAAGCTAATGCTGACAAAGTTCCCTTGTCAGCTATGCTCAATTTGCGCTTCCCTCTTGAGATATGAGGATTTATAATGAGGTCGTATATCCGCTGCTGGGTATGCTTTGGTTTTTCTGACTCATAAAGTGCGATGACCCAGTGTTAGAATCACTTGGCGCATCGGCTCCTTCTCTTAAAAGCCATTCCACTTGAAATTATTCCGTCCCACAGGTCCTAAACCTAAAGCTATGCAGGTGTTGAAGTAACGGTCAGAAGATACAATTTGTTTCATAGGGTTTACTGTACGATTTATGCAGAACAAAATTGAAGTATTCAAAACTGAGATTCATATATGTGCAGGTATTTTGCGCACCATTTTTAATTCATTTTTAGAGAGGGTGTGTCATAAAATTTTCTCTTGGTTGGAAGGAGCGAGTCATGGAACGAAGTAGAACTCATAACATTTTATTGGACTATTCAGCATTTTTCTAAGCAACTGCAAAATAAAACCGCGATCTGTTTTGGTCAGAACTCGGCACAAGGTGGCTAGTTAGAACGCAAAAAAAGTCCCCTTGACTTTTGCGAAGTTTTATGAAGTCTGCTTTGACCCTAGACCATGATGCCTAAAAAATCTCAAAAAAAACGAAACTTCGACCAAAAAAACGTCGCAAATTTTGCGTCTGTTCGGCCACAAAAACGAAAACTCCTTTGCTTTTTCTTAAAAACGATCAGCTTGCTTATAAGCTACCTGTGCCGAGCCCTGGTTTTGGTCTTCTGCTGGTTGCAACTGAGTTTTGTTTGAGCTGCTTATCTGTATCAATCGTCGTCCTATTTACTAATTAGTCATTTCTCATATTCATCAAACACTTCTCCATAAAAGCTGCGAACATTGTTTGATCCAGAGAAACGAAAAAAAACCAACAGGGGAGGTTCCTTCTTAGACCAAAAACACCTTTCTAAGTGAGTCATAAATTATCATAAATATTTATACCAGACACTTTCTACGTCACACTTACCATTGCTGCGTTCAAGCTGTTGATCAAGCATACATAAACGTAACGTTCTACGATAGCATGGCAGGAGTGGAAGGCAAATTTGTACCAAAAAAACACCAAAAAATTTCGCGATAAAAGGACCTCCGTGCTGCTCCTGGCCGGGGCTAGATTTTCAATCTCCTGTCTTATTTGTGGCTTAATGAGAACAGTACTCATCAGATGGTATTATATAAAAATGGAAAGCTGGATTGAACAACACAGATTCTCAGAAATTCCCATCACAAACATATTGTCTGGACCTCACTTAAAAACACTGCGTGGGTTCAAATGATATGGCAAGTTTGGCCATGTTGGGCACGGCAGGCCCGATCTCGACAGATCGGGCTCTGCTGCCCGTTCAGGCCATGCTAACCAACTACAAGAAATCACGGTTTGGGCGGTCTCACCTGTCCGGGCAGTGTATAACAATGTGGGCCCAAACAGTGAGCCGGACATTGATAAATACCGCCCGTATGGTGGTCAAAATTTCCGAGGGGTGAGGAATCTGTCCAAGCACACTAAAACAGTTGAAAACATGCTAGAGGCCGTGGATCAAAATCACCAGATTTTTTGGCTTTTGAATACATTAGTTAGATTCGTTTTGCTTTTCCTAACCTCAGTTTCGTGACTTCCTATACCAAATGGCATTAAAATCATATCCTTCGAATTTGACCCCTTGAAAAAATGCCAGTTGTAATCATGTAAAAAAGCAAACTCTTACTATCAACATGTTCTTACGATTTGTGCAGCAGATTTCTGAAATTTCCTCCTAATACCTTAAATATAAATAGCAAACGTATTTTATTAGAATAGGACGAAAGCTCTGAGTACAAATCTGTCTTTTTTGACATCTGCACTCATAAACGCTCGATATTTCATCCAGATAGCTTTTTTTCAAAAATTTATTTCATCTTAAAACCAATACAATTGCCTTCAGATACAACTCGTCCGCCACGAGAAGGCGAAATCGACGGCGAACATTACCGTTTCGTTTCTGTGGACGAGTTTACACGATTACAAACAGAAGGAATGCTATTGGAACATGGTACCTATCAGGGTAAGTTCGTAAATATTGTTTTTTTTCATTCCTCATGATTTGTTTCGTATCTCATGGACAACTCTGACAAATTACTTTGATGATTGTTGCGCGCGATATGCAAATGTGTGACCTCAAATCCGAATGTTAATGGCTCTTTGTGTCAGTTGTCCTCGAAGTTGACCATTCAATCTTCAGTCGCGCTCGCGCAAGGTTTTACTCTCCCGCCTAGATCGCTTTTTCAAATTACTTGACGAGTATCCTGCATGGCAGGACAACTGTTCCAAAACTCTTCCATCATTCTTCTGGTTTTTCTAGATTTTGAGAACTTTCTTCCATAAAATTTTTTTTCGGCTAAATTCTCTTTCCCTTTATCTCAATCCTAAGTCCCATTTTCTTCCCAAGAACCTAATCTTCCCGCGTGAATCCCGGAAATCCCGGCCAAGTGTCATGTCACACGATGCCACCTGCGCTTGACCTCATCGTCATCTCGCAGGTGATTATTCTACTTTACTCTGCGTCTCTAGCCTCATTAGCTCGTCTTCAACTCCTACCGTAGTAAGCACACTCTCGTCGTCTGCGCTCTACACACCCCTAGATCTCTTAAAAGAAATACCGACACCATCGTCACCGCACATATGGTCAATGACACTATGCGTTCGTTTATTGATCGATCGTGAGATCGTATTGGCATTATCCCAATGTGATCGTTACGAGCACGTGTTATGTGCGTTTTTGCGTTTATTGCGCGTCGTATCTTCTCGACGTCTTTGTTTCGTTTCATTGCTTTGTAAATACCGTCAGTATTTGTTCAACTTGCAATATTTGAGAGCCTTTTATTTGAGTCCGTTTTTCAAAAGGGGGGGGGGGATATCTGGAACGTTAGGGAGGAAGAACTGATTAAAAATCAATTTTTGTCCGAGTTTTCAATGTTTTTTGCTACGAATTTTCAGATTTTCCCCCGGTTTTCATCTTTTTCCCTTCCTGCTTTTTTCTTTTCATTTTTGAACTCTTCACCTCGAAATTTTCCCCGAATATTGCGGAAAGTAATAGGATTTACTGCCTCTCTTCAACCTAAGCAGTTTTCCATGAATTTCCGTGACAATCCACCTTATTTGACGATTTCCATATGAATAATGCTTCAGTTTTTCTTCTGAACTGGTTCTATGACGAATCTAAATAAATTTTTCAGTTTTCAGACAGTTTGTTAAAAAAAAACTCTCATGATTTATTGCTTCGAATTTCTTTGACCCCACCCATAACGGATCTTCATCAATTTCTCTTGTCACAAGAAAATGTTCAATGCTCTGCGAACTTGCTATTTCCAGTCACTGTGCTTGGTTTTTTTTCTGTTCACAAACTTCTGATCATCTTTCCGATAATGTTGTAGATTTTATCTCACCACGAAAAAGATAGCTATAGTTGCTGAACTGCTAGAATTTTCCTTCTTATTTTGCAGCCGAAACTTCCTAAATTTCCATATTTCTGATGAAATTTCACAATTATATTTATCAACCTTGTTCCTTTATGTTATGCCTCATTCAGGGACTATTAAAAGCTTCTGCTAGTCGAGAAAAATTAAGTCTGAAAATTTGTGTTTTAAACTTATTTTGAGATTTTATGTTTCATGTTAAACCCATACAAAATTAGAGAAATTCTATTTTTTTGAAAATTTTTAAGTGACATAGATCTTAATTTCTTTATATACATTTTTATATTTTTTTTTCCTAAGCTAAAAACGTGATGTTTGCGATAACATCCAGTCTAGAGCTACTTGCAACTTTATTTGTGCGTTGCACAACCCGCGCAGTACTTTACGACTTGTGCCAACTAGATGGATATTTCCGTGCATCTTTTGCCTTTTTTCCTGAGTGAGTATGTACAGACAGGTGTAGGCAATCACTTTTTACCATTTGCTCCATTTGATCGATCTTCTGTGACTACCAAATAGTCAGTGTCGTGAGATATCGCGTAGGGTGTGCAGTCACACATATTTTTGCAAATGACTCCAATGTAAGCTGAGACGTTGGTGTATATTGTAGATGTTTTCCTGAGAAGTTACTGGCTCTCCCAAGCCCTCGTTTCTTCCAGAGTAATGGCTAAAAAACTTTTTATATGTACCATACTAGAAAATTGTGCGGGTATTTCAACCATTGTTTGAATGCATTTTCTCTTATAATGAAATGTTCAGAGATCCAAGGTTTTGCTTTGAAATCGGTGTACAAAATCCACTTCTTCCAGCTATATACACCTCGGGCTTCTCTTCCCCCTCCCCCTCCTAACCCCTAAGAAACTTTTCGAGGATCTAATTCCGTTACCCGTCGAGAAACTTCAATAAATCGTCAAGCCCCGTAGACACACGGCTTCGTGCGCCTAATAACCAGGTCAAGTGCAGTAGTGCGTGTGAGGAGGCAAGGCGGGCGGGGGCTTACGCGCGCGGGCCAGGAGAGGGGAAGGGGCTGGTAAGTGGGCCGATCCCCGTAGATTGCCCGTGTACTCTGTCAGAACTCAATTTTCGCGGCCCGAATTCGCTGACGTTAATTGTCGCCGATAGCAGCGTTGTATACGTAGTTATGAGCGATTCTTATCGCTGCGACGCGCGATTCTGCGCTGATTAGGTGATTGTGCAGGCCCTGCCCATACTTGGAATGGGCGCTTCTCACTGATAAGATTAGTATTTGTTGACTAGCGTGCTAGGTAGAACCATCTATAGCCGAAGATTCATCTTAGCATTCACTCATTCATTCATTCTTCTTTTCTTTTTCCTTTCTCAAATGTGCTTCTTTAGCCATCAGTTATGTAGGTAATTAACTCTCAACGTATATAGATTTTGCTACGCGGTCATTGGTTTGCTTAGCAGAACGCGAGCAAATTGCAAGCAAAAGGTGAGCTAACGAAACAGAGCAGAATTTTATTCCTATACTTTACTGTAATACAGGCAGCTACTTAAAAACTATCAAATTGGATTTCTCTTTTTTCTCCACTTACCTCTTCAAACAATGAGTCCCATTAAGATTACCGTCCCCACACTCTCGACTTCCATATTTGATCGTTCAGGAGCCTTCTCATGTCCCTGATTCCAAATATGAGTCACGAAACCGCGAAAACCCTGGCAATTTCCGTTCCGGAGACATAGGCAGGTTTTCCGATACGGTGATTGGATAGGGCGCACGCATGGGAGGGCATTACTGAAGGGGCGGTACCGACTTGTGGTCCTCATGTCTCTTCGCTATTCCGAAGGGTTTTCTCGCCTCAGAGGCAACATTTCGGCCGCGACTTGTGCATTGGATTGATAGGGGGTCCTACTATTGTAAGCCGCCAAAAGCTCAAGATTCCTAATTGGGGTAGATGTGCCTTTAATGTGCACTCTCACACATTCACCTACTGGAGCTTGATAAATGCCGTTGCCTTTTCATTCGTTCTCTTCAGTCATTTCAAACTTTCAATCATTCGTCCCTCCAATCATCCCTTTATTCAATATTCAACCATCAATCAACCAAACACTCTTTTTACTTCTTTCATTTCTTGTTCATATCCTCTTTTTCGGTGTCATATGTCCTTATTAGAATAACAATCTGTCTAAATTAGTCTGTTATTTGTCTTTTCGCTTGAATTTCTTCGTTTTTCTCATGTCTTCTACTCGATTATTTATTGCTTTATTTAACTCTTCATTGCATCCTTCTAACTATCTTCTAAACTGGTTTTACTTGCCTATTTTATCTCTCATTAATTCAGTCACTTGCCTAAATAAATCTCAAAAGTTATTTATTGATTTATTCTTTTTTGACTATTCGTTTAATTTACCAGTCACTCATTCATTCTCTCCATGTTTTTCTCGAGAGACTTTCAAACATTCATCCCACAAATATCTTTTTGACCCACTTAGCAAGTTCGAAGAATAACTGAAAGGAGATAGAGGATAGTATGAGCCAATCAGTATTCGAGTAAATGACAATAAGGCACTTTTTTCCATGCTTCATATACATTTAAATTCCCCCAAATTGATTATCCTTTTTCTTTGATGCTCAAGATAATTCGCTCACTTTCATATTTATCTTGCGGCTTGGTCCTCAATATTCTGCTTGTGTATCAGAATTTTCTACTTGTAACAATTTTTTTACTTGTAACAACAATAACCGTTCAGGTGCTCCTTCTGACCCGTTTCCCTTGGCATGTGTAACCCTTTTCTAATACATTCTTGCTTTCTGAACTTGGGACGAGAATCAAATCCACCTACTCAAATCATTCCCATGCATTGCACCACATCTCTCCATTTTCGATGAAACTCTTCTTCCAAGTGCTTGAGGGTCTAAAAAGCTGAGCATGCTCTATTGCTAACCGGTTATAGATGTGCGGACCACTTGAATTACCTAAGAGGAGTAAACAAGAGTTTTTTCCATGATAGTCGTAAGAACCTTAATCCGAAAATAACCATGGAAGAAGTGGATACTTGAGGAGGAACTTGGCGAGGGATAATTCCTGAATCAGCTGATTTAGTCTTCAGCCTTTCTGAATTTTTTCTAATTGAAGAAAGGAGGGGGGGATTAAAAAGAATTCGAATGCAAGAATTGGGTACTTCCTATCTGTTCTTAAGTGCGTATTCCAAAACAATAGTCAAAAGTAAATCGACTGAATCCCTAAAAATCGAAGGTAAAAAAATAGATCACCAAGATACTTCAGCTTCTGCGATATTTTTTTTGAAAGTGACTGACATCTATTTTTTTTTAATTATCACTTGCTTGAAATATATTACTTATTCTTGGTTCATTTACTTCATTACTTCATGTCTGCAATCCATCCTAAACTTCGCCAGTACCGTAGTCCAAAGGGATGATTTTCGGAATGACTACGGCACGGGTGAGAGCTTAAAGTATATCTTTTCCGACTTTTTTAAAGAAAAATAATGTAATGCATGCTATTTTCCATTATCAGATTCCTGTATTCTTTTTTTTGTATACATCTTCAAAATTTTCTCACAAAATCGAAACTCTTCTTGAAACCAGTGCCACCCGCCTGCCATT